AAATTGTTGTTCATTCTCCCACACAGCACCAATACATAAAATCCTTAAACATGTTTTTTGTTTTGTTTTGTTTGTTTTTTAACATTAACATTTAGCCTGATTCTATAGTTCCTCTATTTCTATTGTACTCCTGTTAGCCAGTGAGGAGTTGAAGAGTTTTATTGCACGAGGCACAAATGAGTTCCTTAGTCTGTTGGTCCTGCACTGGTCTATAATTAGAATTTAGAATAAAAAAAATATAAAAATTGGGGACAATCTTAGCACTTTTTGTTTATGAATAAAGAATTTTGCTAGAGAAAATATCAGAATTCACTTTTGTTTTTCAATAATACTACAATAGTTACCATATCTCTAGAAATAGATTCAGGAAGTGCAATTTTTGGTTTGATCCACCTTTTTAAGTAATTCCAAAATATTTTGGTTTTGTTGCATTCACAGAAGACATGGTCTATTGTTTCTATGTCTCTTTCACAGAATGAGCATTTATTGTCATCAATATTAAAATGATTTCTTAGCTCTTTTAATGGGTAAATTGTATTTAAAATTTCAAAGTGTGTTTCATTAGCCTCTTGTTGTAGGTTTTAAATATAGCATTTTTAAACTTTTAATTAATTATTTTTTTTCAAATTTAAGTATGTTTTTATTTACTTTCAAAGGAAATAACGTTTTGGTTAGACAGCTTCTAATTGTGAAGTTACTGATTTTTTTTATCAGCAAATGATATCCCACTAATTAATAGTGGGTAATTGTGTGAATAGGATGATATGCTATTATTTTGAATCTGACTGATCCATTGTTTTGGTAATGCTTTAAGAAGCAGGAAACAGGAATCTAAACCAAACATTAGCTGAGTGAGTGCAATAGAGACCACATAGGAAAACAAAATATTTATTCAAGTTATTCAGAAACAGAATATTGTTTTAATGAACTTTAATTATTTGAGAATGAACACCAGAGGTTTGCAAGATGGATGTAAGAAGTATTTAATGACATGCTTTATTAGATGTTTGTTTATAAGAGGGGGAGCAACTCAGTTTGTTGATCAAAACAGAGATGCTCTCAGCTAGTCGACTCCAAATTGACATCAAGCTGATTTTTGTAAAAGTGGACAGCAGGACTGACAGTTGGTTGCAGGAACTAGACCCCTGATAATCTAGCAATGATAATCTTCATATCATGGCTACCAGGCCTTCTTAAACAGACACACCCTGCCACACCAATCAGCTAGATTCTCTCTCCTGCTGTACTTTTTGTGTTGCAGCTCTGTTTTTATTGGATGTTGTTGTGTTTTCAGTCAGCCAATGAAAACAGTAGCAGTCCTCGGAGGAGGTATTGGGGGTTTGGCTGCCTCTTTCTACCTCTGCAAGAATCCCCAGGTTACCAAGGTAACACACCAAAACATTCACATCTAAGGATCACTAATCATATTCAGTTTTAATCAACCAGTGTGAGTATGGTTGCTCTCTAAGCTGAGGACTTTTGACAGTTTGCTCGTTCTGAATGCCACTGGGTTGTAGTTTCTTCAACACGACATCAGGTTGAAAAGACAGGAGCAATTGTTGTTGCCCATTAGCTTCTGATTGATTATAAGGACATATTGAAACTATTTGAAGTTCATCATTCTATAGAAAACATAACCAGTGCTACAACTTAAGATTCAGCTGTTAACCATGTCAGGAGAAGAGAATTCTCCTGGAATGTTCTCCTAAGGTGTTTCAGTCTGCACCGGCCTTCGTTAGTATGTCCAAGGTTCCAGTTCAGGACAGAACAGAAAGAGTCTGAACACAGACACTGCTCTGGAACCTTCAGAGAGAAACACAGAGACAAACAGCCAAAGACCCTGAGAGGAGAGGAGTGGAGCTTTACACGGCTGATAAATTACTGGCCAACTACTATGAGTTCTTACTGCCCAAAGTTCTTCTATAAACTCTGGAATGATGTTGTACACTTAAGCCCTGTTCGCACTGCAGGGTCTGGCCTGGCCCCTCATTCACAGCCTGGCCGACTTCTGATCATCTGTTCAATTGGAGAAATGTTATTTACATTTACCATTAAAATCTTTGGCTGAAGAGGCGATTGTAATCCCAGTGTAGGGTAAGAATAGATTATGATGGGAATTTATTGATGCAGCATATTGAAATGACAGCCATCAAGAAAGTCTAGAGCTCCTCTGATCCAGAGATCTGGTCTTTGTCCCGCCCCCACAGCCAATGAACCAATCAACAGCTAACACCAAACCGGCCGGTCTGGACGGCCCGATTGGAACTGCAGCGCTCTGGGTTAAAGGGAGCCGGGTGGTACAGGGCTGGAAGTGCTAATGCAAAAATGGTCGCCGGGCCCCAGATAAAGCATCACAATTTTAAAGGCTTACAACTGCCTTGCTTTCTTTGGTCCAATACTGATACTAACACAATATTTAATGCTCATGAATTTTACATGCAACAGTCCGCATGCAATACAGCAATAGAATAGAATACAATACAATAGGTATGCTTAATTTTTTTATTATTAGTTTTAGATACTGAAATGTCTCTTCCCATTTGCAGCAGTCACAGACAACTTGCAAAATATACATAAAACAATCCAGACTTCTCAAAAAATGCTATGTTGTTGCATTTTATTCAAGTTGCAGTATATAACTTTAATAAAAAATGTTTTCTCTATATTTGTTAAAGATGTGACTATGTCATGACAGTTTATGAGACAGACAATCTGTGAAAATATCAATCTCCTCCACCTCCTTCCTGAGCTGCTGTTGCTAGCTAAAGTAATGCAATGTTCCTGCCACAAACAACCAATCAGAACCAGGAGGAGGGTCTTATGCTGTCAATCAACTTTATTCACTCACTGCTAAATGTGCTAATGGTGGAGAAACAAGTTATTGTTGCAGGAAAACTGTTTATCTGCTGTCATTGGTAGCTATGCCAGTGAAACTGAGCATTCACAACAATCTATTCTTGTTGCAGCACAGAGGGAGGAGGAGGGAGGATGAGATTGTGATTGACGGCACTAAAACCCTCCTGTCTCTGGTTGTAGATGGCACTGGCAGAAGGCAGAGGAAATAATTTTTGACAAATTATTTCTCATGCCAAACTGTCACAACACAATGACAGCTTTAACAAATATGTAAAAAAAAATTTTTTTAAGTTACATACTGCAGCTTTAAGTTCACTTAGGAGAGGACCGGTCAGTAGGGACGTGGCAACATATATCTGTAATTTAAATGCAAGCTAAGGTAAAACTGTGTGGACTGGCTGCAGTCCAGGTAAGCTAACTATGCTGAACAGTTGACAGTCTCACACACGTGAGACTGTCAACTGTTCAGCATAGTTAGCATATGAATAGACTTATTTACCTCTCTTGGAGAAAAACTTAAAAATTCACACTCGCCTTTTTCTCGGTATATCTGTCGATTTTTTTTTTTTTTTTTTTTTTTTTTAAAATTCTTTTTTTTTTTTTTTTTT